CAACTCCTCCCTGTCGCACACCGAGGCCAATCGAAAGAGTGGACCGGGCGTTTCGCCTGAGACTTTCTTACCACGCTGGAGCCTGAAGCTCAGAAACTGACAGCAGCTTCACCGATGGAGGGCGGGTGGTTTTCAAAATGTGGTTCTCGCCTGAACGCCGCACGCTTTCGTCTCAAACACTGCAAGAGCTTCACGTAGTGAGGACACGTGGTTTTCAAGATGCGGCTCTCGCCCTGGCGCCGCGCACATTCGTTCTAAATGTGCATGTGTTTCACGGAGTGAGGGCGGTCCGTTTTCAAACTGTGGCTCTCGCCTCAACGCCGCCGCGCACACTCGTGGCAAGCAAGTGCATGAGCTTCACGGATCGAGGGCGGTGCTTTTTCAAAATGTGGCTCTTGCCTTCGCGCCGGGCACATTCGTTGCAAAAATGAAAGGAACTTCACGAATTGAAAGCAGCTCCTGCTCAAAATGTGGCTCTCGCCTAAGCGCCACCTACATCGGTTTCGACAAATCGCAAGAGTTCCATTGGTTCTCAATGCTAACGTACCAGAAATTGCTTTCTGGAGCGAGTCAGGATTGTCAGGGCGCAACAGTTGGGTACATTTGCGGTGTTGGGGCCGTGGGAATTGTGTTCTGGCACGAATCGTCATCGCCAAGACGCAACAGTCAAGTTGAATCGTGGCGTTGAGATCCTGCGAAGGGTGTTTTGGCACGCTTCAGGATTTCTAGATGCTCGTCTTCAAACGGGGCATTTCCTTCAGTGGAAGTGAATCCTTGTAGTGGCCTATGAAGAGGGAGCCCAGAGGGAGGGTGTACTCCAACATCCTTGACGAGTCTTGGGTTGACACTGGTCATTTTCCTCCTCCCCCTCCTCCTCCTCTTTTTCCTCGTCCTCCTCCTCCTCCTCCTCCTCCTCCTCGTCCTCCTCCTCCTCTGCCTCACCCATCGGTTCCTAGGGGAGCTGCACCGTTTGTTCACGGGCTACGGGTGGGCCAAGGCATTCGGTCGTCTCGGTACGGCCCCTCCCTGGGGCCGCTCTGGGGCGAGGCCGAACAACACATGGTTATGCCCCCTCGGCTCTGAGGTGTATGGGCGGACCAGGTTGTACTGGTCGCTGCCTCCATGGAGTCGTATTGATCACCACCGTCATCATCAACAACAACAGCAGTCATTGTGAGACTGTTCGCTCTGATCTGCTCGCGTGCCACTCATCACGAAGATCCCAAAACCTTGACACCCGCACCCTTTCTTCGATCATACCCCCTATTGGGGGTATTCCGTCCTTACCTGCCACGTGTAGTTGGCGCAGCCCCTAAAACAAGGAAGGAAGGGAGGAGGGAAGAGGCAAGGGGGAGAGAGAAGGATGGAGCACGAGAGAAATTGCAGGAGGAGGGGTAGGAGCAGCAGCACAAGAGGCAGAACCAGACGGGCGGGTCGGGCGGGCGGACCCTAACGGGCAGGTCGGGCGGGCGGGCCCAGACGTCCAGGTCGAGCTGGTGGGTCGCTGAAGCGCAAATCCGACGACCCTGTCGGCGTGTGGAAGAGGCCCTTTCATCAGTCGTTGTTTCATTCGTCGTCTCCTCGTCGTCATCGTCGTCGTCGTCGCCGTCGCCAGTCCAAGCTTTCTCCTGGGTCTCCTTCTCCAACGCGCCAGCCGTTGCCTCTCTGCCCTAGGCCTGTCTTTTCAAGCGTGACAGCGAAAACGACAAACGAACGTCGTAAGTCATTCGAAGGGAAGCCCCTTGCCTTGATCCCTTCCCCGCCGCCAGGGGGGGAATCCCAGGGGGGATCCTGGGGAGGGGTCCCAGGGGAGAACCGGGGGGTTCCCAGGGGGCGGGGTCCCGGGTCAGAATGCCCCCTTCGGGGGATCCCAAAGCCCGACGCAGTACACTGCAAGGAAGTACCACGCGAGAGCGCATTCATGCATAAATGATGAGGAGGTCCCGTGCGAGAGCGCGATTTTGAAATAAAGTGTGAGGAAGTATCAAGCGGGAGCCGTTGTTGCTGTAGTTCAGGGGCCAACAACCTAATCTGAGCCGCAAGACGTTCCTTGGTAAAAGACAAGGTGCGAGCTCCAGGCGGACCAAATTGAAAAAACATAGGTAGATTCGGGACGGGTCAACAATACATATTATTCAGAAACGAGAAAGCATCATCATCACATCATCCTCATCAGCAGCAGCAGCACCATCATCGTCATGACAACTATCATCGCAACAACCAGCAACCATCCCCACCACCACCACCACCAGCGTCATCGTCATCACCACCACCACCACCACCACCCTCATCATCATCATCATCATCATCATCATCATCATCATCACCATCATCATCTTCATCAGCATCAGCAGCATCATTGCCATGACGAGATCAGCATCAGCAGAATCAGCATCATCAGCATTATCATCATCATCATCATCATCATCATCAGCATCATCATCAGTGTCATCATCATCATAATCATGATCATCATGATCAAGATCACCATCATCATAAGCATAATTGTCATTCCGAGCACCGTCGTTATCATCAGCAGCATCACTTTCAGCATCAGTATCATCATTACCATCATCAGCATCATCATCATACGCATCATCGTCATCATCAACATCCCCGTCAGCACCATCACCATCACCATCAGCATTATCATCATCATCAGCATCATCATCAGCAGCAGCATCATCATGACAACTACCATCGCAACAACCATCTGCAACCATCCCCACCACCACCACGAGCATCATCGTTATCACCACCACCACCCTCATCATCATCATCATCATCATCATCATCACCATCATCATCTTCATCAGCATCCTAATCATCATCAGCAGCATCATTGCCATGGCCAAGATCAGCATCAGCAGCATCAGCATCATCAGCATTATCATCATCATCATCATCATCATCATCATCATCATCATCATCACCATCAAGATCACCATCATCATAAGCAGAAAATTTGCATTCAGAGCACCCTCATCATCACCAGCAGCATCACTTTCAGCATCCGTATCATCATTACCATCATCAGCATCATCATACGCATCATCGTCATCATCAGCATCCCCGTCAGCACCATCACCATCACCATCAGCAGTATCATCATAATCACAGACACCATCCACATCGACATCGACATCGACAACGACATTGGCGTCAGCATCATTACCACCGCTATCGTCACCAGCATCATCAACATCACCTGCAGCAACAGATTCATCAACATAGTCATGAGCATCAGCATCATCCTCCCCATAATCCTCAAGACCAGCATCATCATCATGATCATCATCATCATCATCATCATCATCATCATCATCATCATCACCATCATCACCATCACCACCATCAGCATCGGCATCATCGTTCTCGTCATCACAGTCGTCATCATCATCATCATCATCATCATCATCATTATCACCATCAGCATCATCACCACCACCACCCTCATCGTCATCGCCACCAATAAAATAATCCTGAGAATATGAACCATCACGAGCATCATGAGCATTGGCATCATTCCCACCGCCATCATCATCATCATCATCATCATCATCATCATCATCATCATCATCATCATCGGCCTGCCTAGCATAACCATCATCCTCACCATGATCATCACAATCGGCATCATCACCATCATCATCAGCATCATCATGATCATCATGCTAACCATCCTCATCGTCATCATCGTCATCGTGGTCATCATCATCATCATCATCATCATCATCATCATCATCATCATAATCATCATCATCGTCGTCGTCGTCATCATCGTCGTCGTGGTGATCATCATCACCATCATCATCATCAGTATCGTCGTCATCCGCATCATCCTCATCATCATCAGAATCAGCATCATCAGCAGCGTCATCATCATGATCAGCATCATCATCATCATCATCATTATCACCATCCTCATCGTCGTGTCATCGTCATCGTGGTCATCATCATTATCATCATCATCATCATCATCATCATCATCATCATCAGTATCATCAGCATCGTCGTCATCATCGTCGTCGTGGTGATCATCATCACCATCATAATTATCGTCATCATCCGCATCATCATCATCATCATCAGAATCAGCATCATCAGCAGCATCATCATCATCAGCAGCATCAGCATCATATTATTCATGATCGTCATCATCAGCATCAGCATCAGCATCATCGCCTTCATCATCATCATCATCATCATCAGCATCATCATGATCACCATCGTCGTCGTGGTCATCATCACCATCATCATCATCAGCAGCATCATCATCATCATCAGCAGCAGCATCATCATTATCGTCCTCATCAGTATCATCAGTATCATCATTATTTTGATCACCATCATCATCATCATCATCATCAGCATTAGCATCCTCATCATCCGAATCAGAATCAGAACATTATCATCGTCATCATCAGCATCAGCAGCATCGTCGTCATCGTCATGGTCATCATCATCATCATCATCATCATCATCATCATCAGCAGCATCATCAGCATCATCATCAGCATGATCATCATGATCACCATCCTCATCGTCGTGACTATCGTCGTCGTGGTCATCATCACCATCACCATCAGTATAATCAGCATCATAATCATCATCATCAGCAGCAGCATCATCATCATCAGCATCATCATCAGTATCGTCGCCATCATCATCATCATCAGCATCATCAGCATCAGCATCGTCAGCATCAGCATCAGCATCAGCATCAGCATCATCATCATATTATCCATCATCGTCATCATTTGCATGCATCATCATCATCATCAGCAGCATCATCATCATCATCATCATCATCATCATCATCATCGTCATCATCATCGTCATCAGCAGCAGCAGCATCTCATCTTTTCCGCCGCTACAATGGCCTCGAAAGCACATGCCTGAACGAATCCTGTCACGCAGTCCAGTCCGGGTCCTGGCGCCGTGCTGCCCCCGTCGGCCACCACCAGGGGAGCTTGCTGGCCCCACCAGGGTCAGAGGGC